AGGATTTTTATGTAGTGCTTGTGTTTCGTCCTTCAAAAAAAATTTATTATTTTTGTGATTTTTCTAGCAACATCTGATTTCCCTACCACACCGTCAAATGAGCAATTTCTGGTGTTATTAGGTAAATTTTTACAGTTATCAGTGTTTATGGTAGTTTTGAATAACTACAAGTGTTCAAATTGGAACCTTTTATTCGTATTTAAATACAATAATTTTTGTAAACATTTTGCATATCCCTCAGAGTGATTTAGAAAATAAGACAAGGTATGACTGACTGTCCGACACCTTTCACAAAATTCATAAGAAATTATCAGTACCGAAATTATTCCCAAAGAGGAATCAGCAGCCTAAAACTGATTCAAGGGAGACTAGATCTTTAGATCCGAATTGAATTTTTCCTATTGGAATAACCTAAAATAAATTTTTCAAGCAACTCCACTATACACCGAAGAAGATCTATTAAGAAAATATCAATCGCCTGCAGAACATTTCAAATCTGAATTATATCACTACAAGAAGGGTACTTCTGAACATTTGTAATTTAAAATTGCCATAGATCATTATAACACTGATGACTGAGTGTTACTTGGACTTTTATGTAATAATATAAAAAATGTGAAAATCTAATAACATAGGAAGTTTTTCATTTGATTTTGTATAATTGATAAAATTATATAAATATATGTTCAAATTGAAAGGGTCATATTTTCAGGAGAGATTAGTTTATTTTGCACTTTGATTGTTTTCTTCCTTCCTTTGGAAGTTATTCTACAATTTTTCATATGAAGATAGAGACATGAAAACCAAAAAGCATTTTTCCCATGAATATTTGCTTTACTCGTGATTGTGTCCAGCATTTGTATTTTTGTATGTGGATACTAGGGATTGGATATAAAAGACTACATCTTTGCTAACGTTTCAGGCATATATTTGTCTTTTTTACATAACTTTGGCGTGGAACTTATTCAACGCGGGAAAATATTTTTACCTTTACAATGCAACGTAAAGAACTTATAGATTCAAAATAAAAAAAACAACCAACGTTTTAGCAAGAGCAATAGTTGACATGTCGAAGAGTTTGACATTCAAATACCAAAATATGTACGTAGTTTGTTGTATTTTAATGTCCAAAGTGTTGATATTCGCCAAAAATTACTAAAAACCACGACGAGTGCAAAATCCACGAATGGTTTTTTCACAATACTGAAAGTTTTCTTTATATTGCTTCTCGTAAGCGGCGCATTACTTCAAGCTAATACTCCGTATGCATTATGCCACGGTAATCGAAAAAAACAGCGAGCAAAACCTTGACATTTGATCGAACTTGACATGCTTTTTTGGTCTTGGCTCTCGTGGGCTTTTCTATTGGGACGATTAGACTTTGGTTTCGATTACATTACCATGATTCGTCACTAGTTATAACCCTTTAAGTACCTCTAGATCGCTATTGACGTCATTTAACAATTCCTGAGCAATGCTCATGCGATGGCTTTTTTTTGTCAGAATTTAATTTTGAAACCAACTTCGCTGCCACACGCTTCATGCCCCAAATTCCCGAAAAATTGCATGGCATGAGCCTATCGATATGCCGACATCCTCAGGAACTTCTCTGATAGTGATTCGACGATTCTCCATAACAATTTTTTTCACTTTCTCAACATTTTCATCGCTTGTTTGATGTGCTGGGACGTCCAGGGTTAGCGTCGTCATTCACATTTTCTCAACCTTATGTAAAAAGATTGTTTCACCACATTTTTCTGACACAGAGTGCAATCACTGTATGCTTCTCGACATGAGGTGTTTCATGCTAAACAACGAGAACTGTGAACATATGTTTGAGACGAGTGTACCAACATAAAAAAATCTCTAATTGAATGTACGAAGCCCGCGAAATTTGAACATTCATCTTTTTTTTAACAAACCTCGTAGATGCCTTATGAAGCCTAGTGGAAGTCAGCTGCGGCACCAAGAATGTGAAGGGTAACATCTTCCACTAACTCATACGAAATATTATATCTGACAATATTCTAGTTGGAAACAAATCACTGAAAATAGTTTTACTTTTCGTCATTTTTGTACGACCTGACGTGTAAACCATGATGCATAGAAATACCATGGTGTAAATACTTGTACCCGTCCCCATGTTAAATATTTTTGAAAAACACTCGATCTGCTGCGCTCTGGATTTTGCATAAAATGAAGAGATCCTACGTATTTCGGCATTCCATTCACATAGGCGCTAAGCCTACACCAGTATTCATATTTGAAAACGATTCTTGTTCCATCTATCAACATGTGTACAAAGTCTCATTTTTCGCGTCGAGAGATTTGGACAAAACAAAAGCGAATCGGTGAAAATACAAAGGTTTCTATCCATCTTTCGCGTAAAACAGGCAGCAGCTAACAGCCAATTGACTTTTTTTTGTATTACGATAACGGTTATCTGATAAATTTTCAATACAATTCCGTATTTTTTGTTCTTTTATTTAGTAAATACATTTACAACAATTTCAGATGTAAAGAAAAGTGGAAAACGAAAACTATTTTCGAGAACTCATACTCAAAATATAGTTTCCTTTCGAAAAAAGGTGAATAATCGACTTTAAGTAAGCAGCTTTGATTCTTATATAGGGGAGGGTGTGTATGAAAGAGCCAGTTTTGAAAAACATCAAAAAAAAGTTAACGTCAGGTGATGGTTATTGAATAAAAGTGTTTTTTGTAAATAATTAGTTTAATAGTCATGGTTATCCAATCAAAATAAAATGAGATACAATGAGAGAAATTGATAATATGACAACTTAAAAGAAAGGGAAATCGGCTCTTTCAAAGCAACATGTGTATGAAAGAGCTGGGCACGTGCTATGAAAGAGCCGGGTTCCTCTTTACAAAAAGAACAGTCTTTCAGCAAATAAAAATTACCTAATAAACTATTTATCTGTTATATAAATCTTATTAAACTGTAAAATTACTCCTTATGAAATTATTAACTAGAAACATTTTTAGCAAAAGAAATTTGTAACACCTTCAATGCCACAAGACCTTGCTGTGAAGTAATCTTGTTTTTCAATTCCAATAGATTGATTTCATCATGTGAGCTTGTTAATGAGGAATCATCGTGCAAAGATATGTTGGCGCAGGAATCACTGGACTCATCATGTGCCTTGGCTTAGTTTTTGCATAATTTGTTTTATTGACATTTTTTTTACACAAACTTTTCTAAGTTTATTTTTCTTCTCGTTTTCCTTGTTTTATTTTTTTCTGAAGCTGCATTAGGTCTGTCGGTCACCTATGATGCAAAGAACGCATCGTCAGAGAATATGTTAGAATTTGAGGAATATATGCCAGTTTTGATGAATCCTTGAGTAACATTTTGTGAGCTAAAACCTGCTAAATAGGTTTCTCTAACAAACTGCGCAATTCGGTAGTTTGTAATGTATTGAAAGAGCCAGTTTTCGTGCCATGAAAGAGCCGGCTCTTTCAAAGCCTCCACAAGTGGCTCTTTCAAAACATTTTGTCATTTATGTTGTGACTTCAAAATACAGCTATTTCGCGAAAACATTATGATATCAATGTTATCGTAAGATAATGCTAAATATATGCGTAACAATACAACATATCAATTTTATCTACTCATGCTGCACTTTTCTTTGTAAAACAAATTAAGTCAACGCAAACAAACACACTTTTTGGTCCCAAAATCTTTGATGTGGTCTACCGACGCCATTCGTTTTCGCAGAACTGTCAAATGTTTGTGGATGAGAGCTATTCAGTATTGCCATACAAACATTAAAATTAAATTATGGTATAATTTTGGAAAGTGGTAGAAAATCACATCGGCTCTTTCAAAGCCTGACTCCCATAAACACTCCCCATACAGGTTTTCCTAATTGTTTGAAGGTGGTTGACAATGTTTCGTGGTGTATTTCATCAGTTCGGACTTCCATTGTCTAATATAATATAAATTGACTTGAAATCCCTGAAAGAATGCTGTAAAAAATTAAAAAGATTAACCGAAAAATAACAATTTTATTAAACAAAAAACTGAAAATACAAAGAAATAACATACATGTGTTTCTTCCAGGTTTGTTCTTGTTGTACTATAACATATTTTGAAATTTATGTTAGACTCAATCTCACAATAATACAGCGAATTAACCCGAAAAATATATTAACAACGACCGGTTATAAACAAATATATAATCTCACAATGAAAGCTAGCACTAGACTGCCGTTATTCGTGATTCGACTCGCCGGGATGACAAATCCCATTTCGTAACAGTCAGAGTTAGTCATCCTCCGTTGCTTCCACGTTCACAGGGTGTTTTGTGATACTGGGTATCTTACATTTATTTCTCCACATACTCCAAAATCTCAATATTAGATTTAGAGGTCTCCAAGGCTATTGTGCGGTTTTCATTGCCTTCGCTATTACAAAACCAACAAGCCTTTGTACCCTGCCTAATTCTTTGATAAGAGTCGCTTGTTTCAAAGAAGCATTTGTTTTCATGGATTAAACCACCATTCAGTGTAGTCAATACATCATGTTCAGTTTCAACCCCACAAACATCGTTCATAAATAGTAGAAAGCAGTTCACATTGGCTTCTTGCGAAACACCGGAAGCAACTTAGATATGTATGATCTGGTATACCTTCATATTCAACGAAAAGATATTGATTCGTCAGATAAGAGTCCAGTTATTATTGAATTATCCACTTCGATAACATTTTTATCGAATGATTGGAAAGCCTTGCCATAGGTAGTCTGTTTAACTTCCATCAATCTTATTTTCATTGTACACTAGAAGTACCCTAAAAGTAAAGTGACTGACACAGTTTTGCAGCAATGCTTCACAAAACCATGCTGATATTCTAAAATGATAGAGGAGTATGCTCATAAATCAAGTCCGATAGTATCATCTCCAAAAGTTTTGAAAGAAGAATTCATTTTCGTTACATACCCTTAAATGTGAGCTGATTTCATTTTTTGTTCTTTTTTTCAGACTCCGTTTGTTCGTCAAAATACTCCTCATCCCAGAGAACTAAAGGCGAAGGCCCACAAACTGTTTGGAAGAGGGCAAAATTCACTGGAAGAAAGTGAACAACATTCAAACGACACCTCCATCCCAATCGTCGAAGCGGTGAATCAACATGTCAGACAAGCAAGTGATACTCCACAGGTGAGAAATAGGTTGAAATTTCTATATTTCATTTCTCGATTCGATTTGCATTCAAATTATTATTCAGATTGCGATTTGAACGATTTCACTAGCACATATTTCAATGTATGGCAAGGTTTACTGTTTTTGTGATTGAAATGTGATGTTGATGTGTCAATCAATATTTTTGTCTGCTATGGATTAAAGTACAGGGTGTCCCAAATTCGGGATCTCAAAAATCGTAAGAGATATAGGGTCGGTTGAATCAAGGTAGAGTTGTGTAATTTGGTACTCTTCAAAATTATGTTTTAAAATCTGAAAAATTTCGATTACTCCCGGAGATATCGTGAAGAAAAAAACGAAACTGCGCGATTTCGTTCTTTTTTTTCTGACGTCTTTCGAAGCTCTATTCAAAAACAAAAAAACACTTTCTCATAAACTTTTTTCGTTCTGCAACATGTAGTGCTCAGATTTCGAATCAGACGTTTCTTTCTTCAGAAAAATTAAAATCGATATTTTTGACCAAAAACCAAATAATGGATTGTAATATATCATTGAATTCGTTTTGAAAAGGTTTATCGATACAGGGTGTTTCACTGAATCGGGCAATATAAAAAACAAAGCTATTAACTCAACATATCTTTAATTTAATTGACTCTCTATCTTTCACGGTTTTCAAGATCCCAAAGACCACCTTCATATTTGGGACACCCTGTACATTTTCTATCTATAGTGGTTTCCGTTATACGGAAAATATTAACCTCAATATATTTTCTAGTGCGAAGTTTCGCTTTGAATACATTTTATTTGTTAAATATTGCATACTATTTTGAAGAAAAATATCGTATTATTCTTTTTAATGAGAATAAACGACACCAAAAACCAAACTCGAATCCGAAAAGTGGTGTAAGAAATGACCAAAAATTGTTCACATCTACCTAACACAGACTTAATGAAGTGTTCAAAAAAACGTAAAAACTTTTCTGATATTAGGTTGAACATTCCACAATCTGAAAAGTAATTGTGTGCAGATCAGTAGGTAAATAATCTGATGATGTATTTGCCTTCTGGGATTAGAACCTAAATGACATAAACTCAATTTCAAATTATTTGGAAACATAAGTTGCATTTTTGTAAACTAAATATGAAAAAATCGCTCACTAAGTCATTTCGTTGTTACATTTATCATGGATTTTCAATAAATACAAAATATTCAAAAAATTATTCTAATATATGAGGATGACTCATAAAAGTACAAAATGAAGGTGTCACAAATTTTGAACTTTATATTGAATTTTAATTCATTCACAGGTAGCAGAACTTGAATCTGAAGCAGTTTCGAGCAATGGTCTTGTAGCTGAAAATAGCGATATTAGTCAAGACGACGACACTGACGAGGCTGTAAGTAGTTTCCATAACAATTATATATCATTTTAATTTCTATATTTGTACGAGTTGAATCAAAAATTATATTGTCCAAAATATTTTACATATGTGCGAAATATAGTTTTTGATATAAAAAATTGTGAATTGTGGACGGTCAAACCTCTATTGGTATGAAAATTGTTGTTTTAAGAACATAAGTCAGTAAATAAGAAAATCAACCGCGTAATTTCAGCTATAATTTTCGGGAATGCTTGAGTATACTCGCTTGATTCTTGCCAAACTGTGTTCTATATTGTAGAATGAATAAAATTTCACGGTAAGAAATTACTAATGTCAAAATTGTTTTCCGGGTTTGTTGGCCGTGGTCTGCAGGTTATTATGTCTGACAATTCATCTGCAACTGCAGGAGACATTATCGTAGGCGAGCAGGCAACGACGAAGTGTTTTATTAGTCCACACCGCACATAATACATCGTTTGGTGTTGGAGTCCACGGTGGTTTCTATTGGTTTATTGCATTATTTGGAATAACTTAATGTATGTTTTGTTGTGTCTACTCTCAAGGCTTGTTAATATAGGATGAGATTTGCCGATAAGAATTCCTTGTTCTTCAAATTATAAAGTATATTTCTCTTTCTCTCTCTCTATCTAAAATAGAACAGGAAAGCTTTTCCATCGAGGGGCCTATTTTTCGTTTTCGACATTATCTTGTGTGTTCGAAATTAGCTTCGCTGTACCCATTCCTTTTAAAGACGTTTTTGAAATTAAGATATTCGGAAAGACTCCTGGGTTCACGGATTCATAGGGCCTCCTGAATAAACCTGTCCCGATTAAAAAGAGAAAGTAATTATAAGCTACAAAAATTCGTGGTCCTTCCGTCTCCTTTAAATGTCCATCGATAATACAAGATGACAATGTACTATCAATATCTATCGTGAATGCGACAAATTTATCGACTTATGAGCTGGCCAAACAATCAACCACTTTTCGGCAGCCGATCATAGGCCAGACGGAGTCATTTATTGTGGTTTCCTTATATACGATGGTTCAGCGTTGAAACACTATCAGCTGATGGGCGAAGTATTTCCTGCAGGTATTACTGCCCTGCTCACTAATTGTTTGATAAGGATATATTTTCAGTTGAATGGATAGCCCGTTAAGTCCCATCGTGGAACCATTTCATGAAAAAAATTCGAACAAAGTGCCTCAGAGCGAGCGACCTTGAAACCATATTGCTAACTGCTACATTGAAGATACGATCGTGACATGGAAGCATGGTTAAGAGCTACTCAACTTATTTCTCTTTATCCCAAAAATCCAATTCACAATAGAAACAGTATCCTTTCAGCGAACGAACTTGAAGATAGAACACAGAGTCGCTAGGAAACCACCACCGATATATATCTAATCGAAGACTTTAATCATAATCAAAAACAGACGAGAAGTAATGAAAAAGTTAGTTTAGAGGGCCCGAGGTATTTGCGAAACTGAGGGTTTCCCCGAGAACATTTGAAAACCGCCTTCAAATAGAATGGTAGAGGGAAGCCGATTTGGAGCGGGAAATACGAAAAGATAAAGCCAAAGTATTCCGACTCTCTGAACAAAGAAATTGTCTCTTCGGGAGTACCTACTAAGCACTCAGAGATTGTAGTCACATATCGTATCCGAGCTCGACATAAATCACAGCTACTATTCGAGATGTTATGGAGAAATTTAAAAATCAGCGCAATTGCAACGAAGAGAGAAAGAATATCAACATAAATAAAATCTGGCTGCCATCATTCAACAATATACGAATCCGGCCAATTGTTTCAACTAATACAAAAAAGCCTTTGAGGACAACTAGAGCACTGTATTCGTTATAAACGAAACGTTAAACACAAAAACCTGCAGACCACGGCTGAAATTCACAAAAAATAGCCTTAGACTTAATTAAAATTCAGTAACTCTGCTGAATGTTTGATTTCTCAATATTGTATTATCTGCCCAAAATTATCTAAGTATTGAACACAGCTTGCGAATAATTTCACGAAATCCTAATTAACCAGTTAATGAAGATTGTAGCTTTGGATACAACATCTATTGAATTAACCGAGGTATGACTACGGAAATGGTATTTTGAAAATAGTAATTTTATTTTAATTTCTACAAATTAATTTTGTTTCAGTATAGTATCTCAGCAAAACCAAGGTTTGATGTTATCAAACATTTTTGAGATCACACATTAAAAAAAATGTATAAGGTATTCGTGATAGGTAATCAATTGCCGTGACAGGGGTGACACATGAACAAATCACCAATCGGTATAACTTTGTTTCCAAAATTTTCACATCGATTTCATTGGTGATTCAAAAGCAAGAATTGCTTCTGAATCCCTTGAATATTTTTGATTTTTTTTGCACCTTGTTTTTTAGGCAGCAGTATAAAGCAAGATTTTCAGATAATCAAAAGTTCTTTTTGGGGGAGCTTTGAATTTTTTAGTTCTTCTTCACTTTGTGAATCAGTTTTTACAATTAACCGGCCATATCTGACTGATGAAACTGGTCTTGAATTTGGCAACGGGGTCTCTCAGTCAAAAAATCAAAACTCTGCTCTACTTTGCCAAGCTTTCGCTTCTAATGGAAAGCTTCTTCACGGCAGTAAAAATGAGTTGAAAATAATAAATTGAACATATAAACTGACGGAGAAGGTTAAACGTGTATAGATTATTTTGTGTTTTTTTTTTCTATTTTGCTGTACATTTCTCCAGTCGCTAAGATTATCCACTTCATTATATTATATATTGAAATTGAAGAGGTCATTTATAATAAAAAAATCATAAAGTAATCTTTAGCGTTCCCGAGTAGTTTTTATTTTTGAAATCATTACAAAAGAGACAAACTCAAAGACATCTTCATATTTTTAAAAAATTTGTTCAAAAGTAAGCACCAGGATCATCTTATTTTTTACATTTTTATCTCGCGTAACTCAAGGCAACACAGCCAACAAAGATAAAAAAATTGAATATTTTGTATTGATCACAACATATCTATTCAGGTTTTCTGGCCATACCTCACTAGGTATTGTGTACGTTTGTTTCTTACCTGCCAGTTCATGAACAGTAAAGAGTTTGAAGTCCTATTATTAACTAACAACTCACATATTAAAGTACAATTTGATTCAAATATATGAAAAGAGTTGTTTGTCAAGAAATAAACAATTGTAAATATATAATTTGTTCAATATCAAGAAACGAATAAACTCTTCGACCGTATGGGGACGACACGATTCATGAACAATTTGTTTTATTTTCTTTTTGAATAATGTGCACACCATTATATGGGGTGTTAACGAAATCATTTTACACATCGCCATTCAGTTGTTTCTGTTGTAGAAAACTTTCGAAATTCTGAGTGTTGGTATAGTTCATTGGAGCCGATCATTCTAATGGGAAAACAATTGAACCGAATTTGGTTTAACCGTAAATGAACCTAAGCCAAGAATTTTAAATAGAATCTTGTATGGTGTTTCAGACCATTTGATGAAATATAAAATTCTCTTTTCAAAAATATAATACAAGTGATCATTTCTTTTTAAAATGACGCCCTATGAGTCATTTTCTAAACTCAATATTGCCCCTTTGGATCCACTTCCTTATTTCAATATGACGCCATTATGACGTCATCTGAGGAAATATTTTCAATAAAGTTGTTGTGAGAAATAAAAGACGATTTTACTCCGTTTTTAAATAAACGGGCAACTGTTACAACACTAAGAAAATGAATTGAATCAAATGCGAGAATTGTACAGAAAGTCGCATTTGGTGAGTCACAATCGTTTGTTGCTAACCAATGAACTGATTATTCGAATACTGTACTTTCCTTTAGAATGTGCTGAATAAATTACTATTGCAAGGTACCACTTCTTAACCGTCCCACCTGTCTCGACACTACAGCATTCGCTTTATTAACATTTCTGAAACACCCATCTTCCAGATCTCTACCTTCACACCTACTTATTTTTGCATACAATTTAACATTCAAATAAGGAAGTCTTCGAAATATTTTACCGACGTAGTCGCTTTGAACATGACTAACATTTCATTTAATCATTGTATTGGCGTTTGGGAGCATACGAAATATGTCAAATTTGAACAATTTCTTTTTTGAGGAACTTTGAACTTTACTAACTTGTAGAACGAAAGTAAAGTCAAATCACCTAGTTTTGTAAATAATGCAAGTATATCAAGTGAAATTATATACTGCTAAGCAATTTATACTTATAAAGTTTACAAGAACCGTTAGCAAAGACGTACATTGTTTTTTTCAGTTGACGACATTAAAAAAAATATTTGTTTACGAGTTATGAGAATTGTTGAAATCAGTATTTTCAACTCACCCTCGATTAATGTACAGGATTTTCAAAATATGTGGAACAAATATGTTTTTAGAATTGCAGAGTTTCGAATATAAGATGATAATTTCAATTCAAATCGTTCCTAATACTCATATCACTTTGAATCATACGTATTATTATTTTCTCACTCCGACTGTACTGACTCATCAGAGCCTTTTGCCAAGAGTCTCAGGTCTGAAAGTCTCGAAAAAAATATACTTTTATATACACACACGATGTAACAGTTCAACTTCCAAATCCATTTGATCATCTTCTCAAATCCAAGCTTCATGGATAGCATTTAGACCACTTTTTGAAACACGTCACTAAAACGATGAATAAATGAACAAGTACATGCTCGCTCTCATCGCAATAACTAACGAGACTCTTTAACTCGCGCTCAAAAAACCGACACGTTATCGAGAGATAACGGTGCGAGTCAAGAGTGAGAGACAGAAAGACGTGACAAGACGAGACAAGACGAGACAAGAGCACCATGCACAAACTCGTTCTCGTCCTGCCTCGGGATGTCTTTGAGTGTGTACAGCCAGCATTGAAGTTACTGTGTTTATTTCGTCCGCCACGTCAATAAAATTGGTTAAAATTCCATTTTCAACAACAAAAAGATACCTGCTGACTAAAGTTTCTCAAAGACAAGAATATACACTATGTGGATAATATTGATTTTTTATTTTGTGAATTTTATCTACAACATCTCATCAATAAATTCAGTTTTTACTATATTCACTGGCATATATCGTATTTTCTTCATTTTAACATTGTCTGGGTAGGTTGTATCTGAGGTTGCTTTTGATTTACTCAAATATTTCACATTCTCTATTTCTATAAACGAGAATAACAACAAATCTTGAGACTGGTATGCAAATAAACTATGATCGATTAAAGTAGGAGAATTCAAAAATATCAAAATTTAAATTAACCCGGTAATCGCAATAATTGTTTTGCATTTCCCAAACCAAAAATCTAGTGTGGATATTTCCAATAGTTATTTCCAATTTTTTGAGTCAATGGAAGGCCGATAGGAGATTATGAGAGTGAAAATGCTCCAATTTCCGCTGTATTAGCAATTAAAAAAACAATTTTCAATACTGTTGAACTGACTCAACACGGTTAAAATAAAATGGGATTTTTTCTTCTGGTTTACTTATCATTTTCGACTTCATGTTTTTAAAAAAGTCTCACATTGATCTCCGAATTTCAATTGAAATATAATCAATACAAGGATTAAACAAAAATTTTTTATTATTAACAACTGGGGTAAAGATAATGATTAAATATTTTCTTATTGATTGTTGAGACTAAAGTCACACGGGACACTTTGTGCCGAGTGGGCCACAGAGTCAGCTGCTGTGTATCGCAATATACGAGGTATGTTCAGAAAATAACGATAATTTTCGTTATTCGAAAAAAAAACCGTCCACTTTAATGTTGCCGTCTTCAAAATAGTAGTAATCACTCGTAAATATTACGCAGTTCTGCCAGCGCTTCTTCCAATCATCGAAACACTTCTCATACTCGACCATCACTGATGTACTTTTGATATCATCTAAAATGCTTCTGAAACGACGGCCTTTCAAGGTTCTATTCATTGTTGGACATCACTTCACTCCAGAATCAAAATGATCGTCATCTGAGTGGAGAGCAACTGGTGAACCTCGCCTAAAGCGTCCGAAAGAATAACAATCGGCTGGAAAGGTTATGGCCTCGGTATTTTGGGATGTGCGTGGTGTAATATTCATTGATTATCTTGAGAAGGAAAATATCATCAACAGTAAATATTATATAGCGTTATTAGAGCCTTTGAAGGCCTAACTTGCAAATAAACGACCGCATATAGCATGGAAAAAATTGGTTCATCAAGACAACGCACCGTGTCACAAGTCAATCAAAACAATGGCAAAACTTCAAGACATGAATTGAACTTCGAATTGCTGCCACATCCGCCGTATTCGCCAGATTTGGCTCACATCGACTACTGGCTATTCGCAGACCTCAAAAAAATGCTCATCGGTAAGAAATACCGCTCGAATGAAGAGGTTACTGCTAAAACTGAGGCCTATTTGTGGCAAAAGATGAATTGTTCTACAAAAGTGGTATTGAAATGTTGTCATACTTTAGTGGCATGTACACCACCATAGTAAAAAATCAGGTTCTCCCAACCCGTTACATTTGAAAGTTCCCGTTATTTTTGAACATACCTCATTAAACACGCACAATTGAAATATTTGCCATTATGATTGTTTTTCACAAATTGAAATCGTTCGACAAAGGAAATCATATTCATTTAAAAAAATAGCCAAGTCCAGATTCTTTCCAAAGTGTCCAAAAAACAACCGTAGCTCTTGAAATTTAAAATTGTGTTGTCGCTTTCAGGACGATTTCTTAGTGGCATACCAGTCTAGAAATTCTCGTTTATTGAGTTTCATTTATTTTATATATTTAAAAAAAATGCATGTCGACTTGGTGAGTATTTCCGAGGGTATGCTTCAGGAACAAGTTACGAGGCGTGTGGAATTCAGGAGCGGTGTCTCGGCAGCTTCGGAGTTATCAAAGTCGAACCGATTGCACAGGCGTGACACTCCTCACCATCTCAAGAATAAACGAATCTTAGCCGGGGCCATCGACAAAGACAAAATGGCGTCGATTATTGCACAGGTCTCTTTCTTTTTACTCAAGCATCGCTTATGTGTCTGGCAACCTAACTGCTGAATCAAACTGGAATTTTATCCCAGTTTTAAATTCAAAGTTTATCGATCAAAGTTAAATATATATACAAGGTGATTTCTAATGAAGGATACACTAAACTTTCGGGAAGAACTAAATATTGACACTTTTCGGTTATAACGCAAGATGATATCAACTTTTTTATGTCAAACAACTTATACTATTTACAAATTATTTGAAATTTCTATAAATTTTTCTGAAAGATTGTTACGAAACATCAAGTAAGACGTGAAAGTCAACAAAGGAAAAAGGTAGGAAATGCTCCAGAATTTTCGCATTGGTTATGTAAGTTATCAAGTAAAGTAATTTAAAGTGATATTGAAAAATAAATGATTTTAGGTTGCATTTTTGAGTCATTGAATGAAATCATTAATGTTTTGAGTGAATGATAATTCCCTAAAAATATAATATAACGTCTCTTGAGCTCAAAAACTATATTATTTTGAAAATAAAATATCTTTTTTTTGCTTTCAAATATATAATGACCACTTTTTCCCGACGTGATCAAGAAAAATTGCTCATTCCATTTGAAAAATGGTATTAGCTGCAATAGCTGATTTGTATTGAGAAAGTCATCGTTTGAACAAAATTGAGTGGCTAAAATAAAAAAATTAAAAACAATTTTTTCTTGGAAAAATGTTTGCTTTAGGTGTAAAATGTTATACATGAAATTACCTCGAAGTTTCGAAAAGATATCAAATAAATTATATTAAAATTAATATGTAAGTTGAAATATAAAAGTTAATATCCCCCCTTTAACTTATCTTCAAGAATGCTTGATTTTGTAATAACCAAATTCGCAGACACATTCTGCATTTAGTTTTTGGAAACAACCCACAGTTAGTTCTCCTGTGTATATTTACAGAAAAATATTCAAGCAACACAACGGGAGCTCACTATAAAAAATTAAACTGGTTAAACTTTCAATATATATAAGAATTATAATTACAATTCTGAACATTCGAAACTGAACTAAAATGAAACGAAAAAATAAGTGATGAATTTCATATCGAACAATATACTACTGCTTATTATGTCTTAGGTATAATTTCAAACTTGAGAAAGGTAAAATGTTTAAAATTTTCTGAAACAAATGCAAGACCAACTGCAATTAAAGCTGATAGATTTTTGTCAACATGATCGAACTTGAAATTTTCAAAACTCTACACCGTGCTTACATAAAAAGTAATACCTCAATTGAAAATAATAAAGATTAATTAGAACTGTGTTGAAGTTTACTATTCTCAACACTAATTACGTTATCTTCCACTTTAAGATGAACTGCTTGTTCATTTTCAGAAGTTGGGTTGCCAGACCGAGTCCAACTGGAAATCTATTGTATATATTATGTATCTCCTAAACTTATTTAGGAACCTATGCCTGTCTCTGTTGCATGATTTTTGTGGTGGTATATACATCTTGTAGTAGTTAAATGTTGGAACGGACATCAGGTGAGGCGTTGTTTGGATTGTGATCTTGCATGTTGTGTTGGACTATTTTCTTTAATTTATACTAACAATTTATTGAAATAATATCGTTGTCATACCGTCATCAAGGAAAAAAAAACAAAATAATAAGGAGCGCCACCGACCCGTCACTGCTTTGTGGCTGTCAATTGCGAATTATTTCATATAAAAAAAAACTACCCAAAAATGATATCGAAATGAATAGAACTGTATTTCAGAGACCAGTGAACCTCTTCACTGGTTTTTTCCAATACAAGGGAATAAGTTACTTAGTTTAAATGAGTGCCTACAGCAAATTATCAAGTACATATTTGTGAATATTTTGTTGGAGAAGTTTGTGTCATATGTAAGAATATCACCAACCGATATACTGGTAAGTATTCAAAAAACGAATTGATTCGATCATTATTGTATACAGAGTGTTTCTTAATAACATCACTAATAATATGAAACAAAATCGCTTCCCGCTATCTGTCCCTATGTATGGTTAGATCTTTAAAATTACGCAACGGATTTTGATGCCGGTTTTTACACGATTTATTTAATAGATAACGTGATTCAAGAGGAAGTATAGTATAGAAACGCTGATAATTTCAGAGGTTCCTATTGTAATGTAAATGAACACATTTATTTGCGCTTACATTGCAAACGCTGTCGGAACCCTAAGACATAGATCAAAGTCCGCGATGGTATATATCGTATCTCTTACGGAGCGATTTTGAGCAATACAACATTGAAGGGAAAGAACGTTTTTGGCTTTCTACTACTCCATCTTGATACATAAAAATGTGGGAATCTTCCAAAGAAAGGAAGGAAATAATCAATTTTGAAATAAGTAACTCTATAGATGGATGTGTAGATCATGCAAAGAAGTAACTTTCAGCCACAAACTGGAAGAAAAAGCCCTCCTGAAACAGCTACTTTCATATAAACATTCAACTACACGAAAGAAAAATTCAAATACTTATATATGAACACTGAATTATACAGAAGACACTATTCTCTACTCAGTTTGTATTCCAAACATTTGTTATGGAATAAAATCAGGTATCATTCACAAGAGTTCTGCACTGAATAAATGGTAAAAAAATTGAACTTACATGGAACACTGTCATCCTCACTGGTAGACATCGATGTTTCGCCGTAAGACACTTGCTTTAGGGCTCTTCAGTACCAATCTGGATAACATACGAAAACACACACACAATTCATTCATGAATTACAATAATGTAATGACATTCATTCACCTATTTGATTGAATCCCAGCCAAGAGGAATCTTATTTAAATAGAGAGGGTTATATTTTTAGGAGTGACCAATTTTTGGGAAAGAAAGTTTTTGGACTACTCCATCTTTGGAAGATTCCCACATTTTTAGTCACTCCTAAAAATATAACCCTTTCTATTTGAACAAGATTCCTCTTGGCTGGGATTTATTCAAATAGTGGAATGAATGACATAAGTAGATCAAACTTATTCCGTGACTTAGAAAACGTAATTCATGAATGAATTGTGTGTGTTTTCATTTAATGTTATCCAGATTGGTACTGAAGAGCCCTAAGGCAAGTGTCTTACGGCGAAACATCGATGTCTACCAGTGAGGATGACAGTGTTCCATTTAGTGAAGAACTCCTGTGAATAATACCTGATTTTATTCCATAACGCATGTTTGGAATACAAACTTAGTAGAGAATAGTGTATTTTCTGTATAATTCAGTGTTCATATAAAAGTATTTGTTTCGAAAGAATTTTTCTTTCGTGTAATTCAATGTTTATATGAAAGTAGCTGTTTCATGAGAGCTTTTTCTTCCAGTTTGTTTCTGAAAGTTACTTCTTTGCGTGATCTACAGATCCATGTTTAGAGTTACTTATTTTAAAATTGATTACTTCCTTCCTTTCTTTGGAAGATTCCTAAATTTTTTTGTATCAAGATGGAGTGGTAGAAAGCAAAAAACTTTCTTTCCCAAAAATTAGTCATTAATAAAAATATAACCCTTTCTATTTAACCACATTGATCTTTATCCAATTAAGTAAGTACATTAAATGCCTTGTGCATTCAATGTAGATCAATATGACCCTTTACAGCATGTAATTCAAATGAATATTTTCGAAGATATTATAGCGGTTGCTGCGGTACCGGCCGGGGAGTCGACGGCGCTTCACCCTATAACACTTTATGATTGGCAGCAATCACACGCGTTTATATGTATATTTAGTATCAACAATGCACCCGTGCGGAGCTGGGGCAGGTCGCTAGTGCCTAATATTCCTAAAGATCAACTTTATGTCCTTTTTACAAGCTATGCGTCACATGAAGCTTGCCAAGTTTTGTATAAATATTTTAGATTTCAATGCATTGGGTATTTTGAAATAATTTGACGCAAAGAATTGTGGCGTATCAAAGTTGATTTTTTTAAAAATGAAATGCCACAATAATGCTTTTAATATATGGATTCTGTCAAGAAGATACTTTCAAAAAATATAATGTTTATGCAGAGCGATTTAAAATTATGCCAAAAATAGGATTTATTCAACCACAACTATTCTCGATGAAAACTCAGTACGTTTTTGTATGAATATATTTCAAAAATATTGTTTTATTATTTTCGGTTGATGGATTCACCATTTGTTTTTATGCTGGGTGGTTTTTCATTGTCAAACATAACTGAAAAATTCAGATAAATTTCCAGCTAGGTCAGGTGTATCACAAGGATTGAATCTAGGTCCACTATTGTTCATAATTTTCATCAACAATGATTTACTGTCAGTTCTGAAATATGCAGTCCGAGACTGCACATACCAGCAAGAGGATATTAATAACATCTCAGATTGGATAAATCTGAGTTTCACATAATCTGCTTCAGAACCATTGCTCAAGCTGCAATCGAATCTTCCAAGTGATGAAGGGTTTCGTAGAGGGATTGACCCGGTTCTTTTATTCTGTGAAGTATGTTAGTAGGTTGATTTTTTCAAATAAAAATATTGGCGGCCACTTTTTGGCAGGCAACCTATCATAAATGTATTTCCCTATTCATAAATGTTTGTAAAAATTTGAGTTTCATTTACTACGCTATGAACGTAGTGATTTTACGGCGGGATTCTGTACTATTATTAGTAATGGTAATGAGATAGCGATGATAGACTTGCTTTCCGACTGGTATTTGAATTCAAAATATACCAATGCTGTTCTGCTGCATTCCTCGAACGTTTCGTGGATGTGTTCAAAAATAATAAAGTTCAGGCAAAAAACCTACTCGAAGCCTAAAGAATGGAAATAGCTAGTCACTGGATACACATCAAATCAGTCTTGAAAACATCGAAATGCAACTTTCAACAGATTTGCTTTACCTGTTGAACATTTAGACTTATTTTTTATTGACCCGATGGATATAATAAGTCAAACTGTAATAAATAATAAGCAAATTGTCCCGCATAGTATTATAAAAAATATTTCGCTGGCATGAACA